GGTTCCTTTCTGTTTTTAACAGAGAAGGAGGGTGTGGAGATGTTCACTAGACTGGGGCTGTTCCTGTACCTTTGGAATTCACATAGGCCTTTATTGTGATGGTGATATTAAGGATGCCAGCAGAGAATAATGCTGTATATTTGCTGAACAGAAATTTCAGTGCTAACTCGCTGATTATTTCTTAGCTGTACTGATGGGAATGGAAGTATTACCTGAGAAAAGGTTCATTTTCATCTTTGTATCTACCCAGTATTATGTGGAATCACAAGTGAAAGAAGTTCGCCCTGATGATGTAGTTTTTATACCACTATAATTTTGTCAGTTTTGAACATGGTGCATTTAAGATAGAAGATATCCCATATAATAAAGAAAGTTCACATGTTTCAGAAGCTACTATAGTATTGGAAATAAGATATACTGATGTTACAAAATTGTTTTTGAGATAATAATGCTTAACATAATAGGGTTAATGTGCTTTAAATATGTTGATTTTTATATTGGTAGTTATGATACCCCTTAATATATGTAGATTAATGATTAACTGACATATACCTACTTGCTTTGTAATCTAAAATAGAAATCTAGATACTAATTAATAATAACTCTTTTGTGAGTAGAATTCTACTTTTGCATCATAAGTTGAAGTAATATTTACTGCTATAAGAAAACATCTATCCACATCAGCTAAAGCTGTATTTATGGAGAGGTTAGTGAAGTAATATTTGAAGCTGTGACTCTCTATCATCAAAGTTTAGTAAGATGTTTATGTATGTTTTACAAATAAAGGAAAAAAATTTATAGGGCATCAGTGAGTGGAATGATTTGCTATGAGTAAATGGATAGTTCTTGCATGCTGACGTGGTCTTTGGCTTTTGGATCAGTAATTAAACTGAGCATCTCACGCACAATGCCTATTTATATTGTGGGATCTGTCCTGGGCTCTGTTCTAGTTTTGTTGTAATTGAGTTAATGTAATAGAAATAGTTGTTAATTTTTCTCTGCTTCTAGCTTTAACTGCATGGTAAAGTAAGTCTCTGTGTGGTGTGTCTACAGCATATGCCTGGCTCTCTGCTGTTATGTTTAAAGAACTGCATTTGATGGCTGAGTGTTGCAGACAGATTTCTTGATAGTGCAAGGTACTTGTGTGTTTTTTGTGCTTTGCCACTGATTAAGTGAAGTTGTGGAAACACCTTCTTAATTCTTTAGTATTCATTGTTTTCTTCAAAACTAATTTTAAATTGCTTGTTTAAACCAATAAATGACTTCAATTTAATTTTTCCATCTCTAGGAGACACAATTTCAGGCTCGTTGCCAGCCTAGGTTTTTTTTTCCTAGACCTTTCAGACTGTTGTAGTCTGCATCTTAAATAATTCTCAAAAGTATCAAACAACGAGTATTACTCAGAAGTCTCCAGGAAGTACACACATCTTTTTTTCACCTTGTAAGCGAAGTCAAAATTGGGGAAGACTTGAACTTTTCCAGAAAACAGGCCTCCCTCTTCGTTGGCAACCTCATTCTTTGCATGTGCTTTGCAAATGTGCTCCACCACTACCTCTTCAAGTAATTTTGTCAAGCCTAATGTAAGTTTCAGTCTGATTTCTGCTGTTCTTCAACAATAAACTCCACAGAGTGGGGCCTGATTTTTTTGGGCTGTGATAGTGCAAGTCAGGACTAATGGGAGCATACCAGGTTTTAATCAGTACAAAAATGTTTGTAAGCTAGAGCTTTGACTGTGTTAAATCCATTTATGAACATCTTTGGCTCAGTCAGGGTTATGTCAATGATTTCCTGAAGTGCAGAACCATTTTCCTTTAGATGAGCAACATGTGAAGAAAAATGTGGAAACATTTTAAGCCTGGGCTTTCTAGCTGAACCTGTTCTCTGCATATGCCCTCCATCTGACTTGAAGCACAGGTTGGAAGAAAATCTTCCAGTGAAATCTGCTGGATTTTTCATTCAGCTGCTAGAGCTGAGTTTATGCTGTGAACTTTCTTAAATCTGTTATCACATATGCTGGTAAACCTGTGGTACTGGGTTGTTACTATTGGTGTTAAGGTGTTTGTTGCCATATGCCATCGAACTCAGGAGTGCCTGCATATTTAGTTTGTTCATCATTATTGTTGTCGCAGAAACAGAATTTTTTAAAAGCAAATCTAAGCTAACAGAACTTAAGACTTGATTCTGCTAAATGCAAATTTGTAAGACTGAAAGGAAAGATGAGTTAGATCAGCTGTTTTAGAGAAAACAACTTAAGGTCTGATCTATTATCAGTCACTGAATTAAATTCACAGTTCTCTTAAGGGTGGTCAAGAATCACAGAACAGCTCAGGTTGAAAGGAATGTCTGGAGGGCATCTAGTCCACCCCCGTGCTTAGAGCAGGTCCAACTAGGTAAAGTTGCTCCAGGCTTTCTCCTGTTGAGTCGTGAATACTACAAGGACTGAGACTCAGCAGCCTCTTGGTTCTGCTTTGTGGTATTTGACCAGCCTCATAATTAAAATAGTTTTGCCTTGTAAGTGATTAGAATTTCCTGTGTTGCAACCTTGCCTCTTGTCCTGTGCCTCTGAAAGAAGAATCTGGCTGCCTCTTCTCTGTACCCTCTTGTTTGGTTGTTGGAGGCAGCAGTAAAGTCTCCCCTGAACTATTTTTTCTTAAGCCTGAACTAAGCCAATCAACATGATACTAGTGTATTTAAGCATCCCTGTTTATTCAAATGTTAGATTCTCATCTGTTTGTGAAAATTTGTTTTTAAACAAAGTTGAAACCTTGTTTTTAAATAAGGTTTGTTTCTTGCTGTGTGCTTTCTTCTCAGACTGTTTGTGGTCTTTTATCCAGTGCTTGTACAAGTATGGAAAATTTCTCAGAAAATCCAGTTTTCTGTGCATCTTCTTTTGCTCTTCAGTATTTACATTTGTGCAACAACAAAATCACCATTGCTAGTGGTGATATTTACTTACCTTTTAAATTCTTTTTGATCACTTGCATTATTTGAAGTTTCCCACGGTAAACTTTGATGTTGGTTGTTTTTGTTTTGTTGGGGTTTTTTGAATGAAAAGCCATGTCTTTTAGAAGTCAAACACCAATGGTAGAGGATGCAGTCAACTAAATACATTCTTGCAAGCTGAAGTGTGAGTTTGTATCTTTGTATTTAGGAGGCAGTGTTTCACTGAAGCAGTAGTCTGTCCTGTTCCTAACAGGAGTGTTCAAGATTGAAAGATAAAAGGATCAATTCCTGCTTTGTGGAATTGTGTAGGTTGGATTTTTAGTGTGATGATGTCAAGCAAGCCACTTGTAACCATGGATGCTATCTGAAGGGGTGTCTTTTCCCCTGGCTGTAAAGAAGTCCTGAACTGAGGCAGTTAGTGAGGCAAAACTTAAAGAGTTCAGCATTTATAATTTTCTTATCTCAGCTTGTGGTTAAACTAGTTTTGAAAGGAGTAATTCATATAAGTGCTTCGTGAGAGCGCTTACTGGTGCTTTAGGCCATAAAAAGCACTTCTTGCAAACTATGTACATATGAGAACTGCTGATGCCTAAGTTAGGGGCTTGTTTCAGTTTAGCAGAAAGATTAGTCTTGTAGGATACCAAAGCTAGTGTGAGTATTAAGGAAGATGGAGTGTGTTGAGCACAGAGCTTCAGCAGGATTGTGGCCTCATGTTTAGGACCTCTTTCTTCACAGAAGGACCTGAGTGACTTTGCTTAATAGGCTTTCTGCATCCCTTCCCCCTCCCCAAATGTATTTGGGATGTTAATGTCTATGTGAGTCTGTCTCTTCTCTTTTAAAATTGGAGTGGTTATGAATCATCCGATTTCCTGCTGCAAATAAAGCAGAAAAATCCGGAAGTAATTGTGTGACTAGCATTAATGCAGCTTTGCACGGAGGAAGCATGGCAACGTTAGCAGTCAAAAGTGATGTATTGAAGACTTACAAATATTGCTGTTAGGTGTTGTTTCAAACAGTGAAAATACTTTCTACAGCTATTTAAGTCGGTATGGCTTAAGCTTTTATCAGCATCGCGTTCAGACAAAAGGGGGCCATGAAAATCAGTAGTGGTTCACTAATCAGATAATACTCTATTCTTACACCTTCTTAACTATAGTTTTGGTAGTAAGAGGGGCTTCAAATGAAGGCTGACGTGAAGAAATCTTGCAGCTTTTGCCACTGGTAGTGTTCTCAAGAGGGGAAGAAAATGTCTGGAAGAACACAGGCATGGTCTCGTAGTAGCGACTGGAAGAAGTTTAGGGAGTGTTGCTCTGCTCATCACAGAGCTGGAACAAATTAACTGTGGGTGTAAGAAGGGCACTTCATGCCCTGGAAGTATCCTTGGTAGTGCTGTGTGTTACGTGTGAGAGAGTCTGCACAGCTTTATTTTGCTGCTAGGATAGTGCTTAGACTTCATCTGTGTCCCATGAGACATGCTTTATACTAGATGCTACCTGCATATATCTGCACTAGAAGGAAAACCAAACAACACTATTAGCCTGCAAATTGGTTGAAATGATGGCATGCTACTGTTAAAGACATTCAAAGAGGGTTTTTACTTAGACCCCCCCCTTAAAATTCATACTGCTTTCTTATTCTCTGCTTGGTGAATGTTGGAGGGATTATGGTGTTTCTGAAGCTCTGTCCTCACTGAGGAGAGTCTAAGCTGCCATCAAGAGGAGTGAAATAAGCTGAGTGACAGTGGGCACAATTTCTGTTTTGGCAAGTTGTACAGCGTATGATACAAAGCAATGGTTATTAGTAATATGTACTTAATGAACAATTTATAATAATCTCATAGACAATTGATACTCATCTGTTTTAACCATATGGGGGACCTTATTTGTATAGAAACCAAATTCTATAGTACTATCCCCTTGAATTCTAATTTTATTTCTTCTGTCATTTTTGGTTTATTCCTTCTTAAGATGATGAATGTTCTTTTTGAATTTCAGAGTAATTGGTCCGGAACCTCCCATGATTCGGTCCAATCAAGGAGAGTGGTCATTTCTCATAACATGGATAAAGCACTGAAAGAGGGTGAGTCTTAACTTGGACAAAGGCACATTAGACTTTGAATATCTGTTGTCCTCTTGGCAAAACATGACTGCATAATATTCCCTGTTTTCTTCCTTTGTATAAAATAAGTCTTCCCAAGACATCTGTAGGAAGTAATGTGATGTTGTTTTTGCAATGTAACTGATATCTTGTTATTTTAATGAATGTTTTAATAGAAATATATTACATTAGAGTCCATAATACTTGTGTACAAGCAAAAGGGTGGTATTTTAAAGACTCTTGGGTTCTGCTGAACTGATAAATCCTGTAGACTCTTGCAAATGGTCTTCCCATTAGTCCAATTCTTGCCATGAAAACTGAATCTAAAATCAGTATTTGTATTTCTGACAGATAGAAACTATGAAATCTGTGGATCATCAGTACAGTCACTGGGCTTTAGATGGGCTTTAGATATGGACTATGACTGTATGAATGTAAAATATCTTGTTTGCAATTCTGTAAAATAAAGAGTAACTACTACTGCTGCACATGTTTTTTCAACTGACTTCTGGTAATACAAAATGTAGTAGAATTTGGGATTGTGTCAGTTAGAAGCAAAAAGTTTTTGCCTTCTTACTTCAAAGTTTATACTGGGTTGGAGCTTAAAGATGGTTTGGGCGGGCGAAAACCTAGCTTATGAATTGAAAGAAGAAAACACGGAGTTGTGTACTGTCACTTTTAAGATATATTTATAAAACTATGCCATTTCAGTTTTTAATAAATAATAAATATTTTTTTCCTTCAAGTTTTCTTTTGCAGCACTGTTTTCTTTTTTGTGTCTGGAGACTATGATTTAAAATTAATATTGCTTAAAACAGGTTAGTTATGAAAAGTTCTTGGAATGTGTGATATGATATTTTTAAAGCTATTTTAATGAATAGCTGTTAGGATATAAAAAATAAAATAATATCATTTCACCTACTATGTCACATTTCTCTGAACTACTATAACATATAATTAATCTGGAATCAGTCAGATTACAGGATTTGCGATGATGTGAAAAGAATAGTAGCATCCAAATATCACACACATAAAATAAAGACAGACAAGTTATTTGCTGTATTCTCTCATGTGCATACTTTACATTTTGAATAAAACGCACTGGAATTGAAAAGAAGCCTTGCCATTATCAGCACAGAATCTGAGGTAGTGTGGTTATCTGGAGAGAGACAACAGGTGTTGTGGAATAATTTGGAAAGACAGATGTGTTACAATTCCCTCTTGTTGCTTGCACATAGGAGTAACTCATGTTTCTGGAAAAGATGTAGAAGCTGTCTTCATCTAAGGTGGATTGTATGGGGCCTTGAGCAGCCTGATCTAGTGGGAGGTTTCCCTGCCCATGCAGGGGGTTGGAACTAGGCGATCCAACTCAAGCCATTCTATGATCCTTTGATTCATCCTACAGATGATTCAGTTAAATGCATGAGTCCATCCGTACTCAGTAAGGCTGAAAGAAAGTTACCAATATTTAAACAATTACTTTTGCGGAGTTGAGGACTTTCTGTTGTGACAGCTTACTTGCCTTTCTGCTATTTCTTTTCACAGCAGATTTTACCCTCCATTCTTACTCTGAATTTTGGAGAGCAAATTTGTCAGATTTAGTTGCATTTCTTCCAGGCCTAAGTGACTAGCAAAGCCAGCTTCTCCAGTATGCAGTTTGACAAGGATGGGACTATACTTTACCACATGTAGAATTCAGCAAGCTGTTTGGTTTTGGAAGGTGTCTGAGTCAACTGAAGTTTGAGATGCTGAATGAGTCCCAAAAAGAAACATGAATGAAATGATCAGTCTGTATGAAAATAGACAGGACACATTCCTTGCCCTGTGGCAGTTCTGAAATTTGTAGTTGTCTTGACATTATGCTTTTTTTTATTTTTCACAAGTTGATGGTTAAATAAAACTTGGTTACTAATGATAAAATAAAAGGTACCGTCTGTGTTTTTGTGTCCTTAAAAGCCATATTTTAATCCTAATCAATCTTACATTGAGGATTAAAGTATTTGTAAATCACAGGAATTTTTGCCAACTCCTTGCTGTCTGGATCGAACATGCTATTCAACAAAATGCTTTAGAAAGTCTTGTTTATTTTGTTAGGAGACTTTAAATTATCCTGGGATTTTAATCTTGGGGACCAGTTCAGACTTCTACTGCCACTTGAGGTTTTAACAGGTTGTAACATTCAGTGGTGTTTTGCTCTGTTTTTTGGGTTTTTTCATTTTTTTTAAAACAAGTGTTATTTCTCTCTACATTAACATAGATATGCAAGGAAGACATTTTCAGAGGAGCTAGCATCACCTAATTTTAAAACTTGCTATTGCTTCTTATGAAATGACAGCCCTTTGGTTTATACTGTTAGTTCCTAACTGTCTTGTGCCCCTCAAGAATTGCCTGTTGGCTCTTACTCAGTCATGCCATGCTTTTGCTGGGGTTACAGCCAGTCTGTGTGGGCTTTCCCCTCTGAATTTAGAGTACTCCTCCTTTACTGGCACTGTTCCCTGAGGTTCTGTGGTATGTCTTGCTTCATAGACTGTCACTTGCTTTCTGCATTTTTCTTGATGTTCTCATTACAGTCTGTTAATATAGTTGGAAGGATAGATATCAGTGATCATCCTTAGTTTTAATTGAAGGATTCATGCATGTTTCCATTTCAACCATCAGTCTTCACAGTAAACTTAGAAACATTACGGTGCTTAGGGTAATAGTTGCCTGGGTCTTGAATAGCTTCTCCTCTTGCCAAGGACACTGTAGCAGACTTGTTTGGAATTTTCTTTCTACAGTGTTGGGCAGTAAGTACCACCAGGAAGGACCTTTTATTTACATTGGTTTATGTCTTAGTTCTCAACTCCTTTCCTATCTCCCATTGACAATAGAGTAATATAAAAGGACGTTACCTCAGAGTGCCACTTCGTTGTTAATTATAAGATACTTGCATAAGCTGTAGGTACAAGGTGAGGGAAAGCTGTGAATTAGTCCTGCTGGTGTGTGGGGTGTTTTATGAAATCTAAGTGCACAAAATCAGAATGTTATATAAGGATTTTCCTTCTTGAACATCACAGAAAGAGAAGGCCTTTGGTTTTAAACCTGAGTCCCTTTTACCACCAGTAGTACTTGGGTGACTAACACTGAATGTGTTTTCTCAGTATTTTTATGCCTTTTCTTGGTAGATTTATTTGATTCCTCTTTGTCCGTCATTTATCTTGCACAAAGAAAAGATTATTCACTTTTACAAATACTTTTATCACAGAATTGCTTGGTTTAGAAGGGACCTCTAGAGATCACCTAGTCCAACTCCCCTGCTAAGGCAGGTTCCCCTAGAGCACATTACTCAGGGTAGCATCCAGGCAGGTCTTGAACATCTCCAGAGAAGAAGACTCCACAACCTCCCTGGGCGGCCTGTTCCAGTGCTCTGTCACCCTCACTGTAAATAAGTTTTTCCTCATATTTAAAGGGAATTTCCTGTGTTCCAGCTTGTGCTCATTGCCCCATCTCCTGTCACTGGGAACTACTGAAAAGAGTCCGGCTTCATCCTCCTTGCACCCACCCTTTAGATACTTACAGGCATTAATAAGAATTCCCCTCAGACTTCTCTTCTCCAGGCTGAAGAGTACCAGCTCTCTCAACCTTTCCTCCTAAGAGAGGTGCTCGAAGCCCCAGTCATCTTTTTTGCCCTCCACTGGACTCTCTCTAGTAGTTCCCTGTCTCTCTTGAACTGGGGAGCCCAGAACTGGACACAGTATTCCAGATGTGGCCTCATCAGGGCAGAGTAGAGGGGGAGAATGACCTCACTTGACCTACTGGCCACACTCTTCCTTATGCAACCTAGGATGCCATTTGCCCTCTTGGTGAGAAGGGCACATTTTTGGCTCATGATAATTTACTATCTACCAAGACTCTCAGGTTCTTCTCCTCAGAACTGCTTTCCAGCAGGTCCACCCCTAACCTGTGTTGGTTTAGCCTTTTAATGCTTCTTGTTCATTATCTGGTAACTTCATGTTTACAGCCCATATCATATGTTAGTTTAGGAACATAGGAACATGCCTCTTAAGAGACATTGTGCTCAGTCAGACTCATGCTACTGTTGCACACTGTACTGTTTGGGCTGAGAGTTGTACCTATCAGTAGATGTACCTGCTGTGTGTGTAGCTGGTTTCCCAGGAACTGAATTTCTTCTTCTGTTTTTATTGTCCCGTATCCTTTGATCTTTTTGTTAGTGTTCAAAATCAATCTTTGTCTCTACTGCTTTTGTAGGCAAATGGATCTCCACATTACTTACCTGCTTTACTGAATCATTTATGAGTAAGTAAAAAATGGCACAGGCCAGAGCACGAATCTCAGCAGAACTCCACTAATTAAGTTCTTCTGTGAAAACTGGCTATTTCTTAATTTCCGGTGTTTCTTAGCTCTTAAAATATTCATACTAGAGAGCCATCTCTTTTCTTAGAGTGGTTTTTCTTCCTTCCACTCTGTTGATGTGATCTTGTTGAAAATAATTTTTTTTAAAAAATAATTTTTCCTGCAGAGTCATAAAAATTATTAAAGAAGCAAATATCAGGAAAACTAATAAAAATACACCAAACAGTGTAGAATGGGAGACTGTTGGGGTACAGCCTGACACAGCCCTCCTTTCACACAGGGGCTGTACAGCCATGCACAATGATAACATCTAGACTGTTAAAGAAACATGCCAGTTTCATGGAGTTTGAATAATACTGTAAAATGCAAGTAAACCAAGGAATGCTGGTGTTTTTCTAAGCTCAAACTTTAACAAGAGACAGGAATCCAGAAATGACTGTGGCTAGTGTCAGAGGCAGGTTCCCAGTCATTGAAGTCTGGGCATTTACACAGCAATTTGCCAGCCTTTAACACCATGGTCTAAATAAACATTTAGTGGGAATGAGAAACTTCAATAAGTAAAGATAATGTTAAATATAAAACCTCATCATCTTAATTTGTATTGTATAGCTAAAAGGTAATAAAATCTAAAACACAGTGAGTGAATAATGTCCTTTATCTCTTGAAATTAAGAAGCTAGTATCTTGAAAATTACAGAGTTGCACATTCAGATTATTTATTAGTAATTTTTAGGGAGTTAAATATAGGAACTGTAATATTTTAGTTTGATTTTTGAGGATGAAGTAAGGTGGGGTTTTGCCTCCTTTTTCTTTTCCTGAATTGGCTTTTGGAAGAGAGGAAAAAGTATTAGCTGTAACGAATAGCTAAACATTTAACATGTACTTCTGTAGAACAGATTTTTGCCTGGGTCCTAGCAGTGGTATAGTCGGTCATTTTTTTTCATTACATTTTTTATTGAAAGTACTTTTCCTTCAAGTATAGCTTACCATATCATGCATGTTAATTATGTTGTTATAGTAGCACAGTATTATAATAACACTTCTTGGCTGTTTGGTGGCTTCCTGATGCAGAATCTTAACACTATTTATATTAATATTGCATTTCTATTTTGCAGATTGTGATGCTTGCTGTTGTAGAATAACTCAAGTCAGAATTGTAACTATACATTTGGATTTGACTGGAACTTCCTAGAAATAGTTCTGATCTCTCCAGTGATTTCTGGAAAGATTATGTAGTTCTTGTTTGATACTTGGAAGGCTGCATATGCATTTGCATAGCGAGAGTATTTCAGACGTGATTTTAATGATGCTTGGAGAAAAGAGCTAGGCATTTAGTCATTGTTACTTGTATTTCTATGTTACTTTTCATGAAGTTGGGTAATGAATCTTAGCAGCGTAAAAGTTGTTCATGAAGGGCTGCCAATTGCAGATTTTAAGCCAACCCGACCCACTGGCTCTTGTGGTGCCACTGAACCTCTGGATGATTGGATGTGGAAGAAGGGAGAGCAGTTACTGTAGATCTGTGCAGGGTTAGTAAAGAAGGAAGGATCTAGAACGGTGTCCTCACTAACCTCCAGACAAGCTTCTGACTGTCTACTCATAATGTTCTCTTAGTTTACAGTCTTTAAAAAGAGTAATTGAAGACACTCAACTTCATGTTAACACGGGAATGACTTGTAATCAGTTTCTTCAGGTCTTCTGAAGTAATTTAGAAAGTCCAGCAGAAGCTTGCAGTTTTGCATCAAACTCATTGCTCTCACCGTATCTGTTTTGATCAGAAGAATTTTGTTTTATGTTTGTAGCAGCTGAGTTAGTGGCATTAAGGTATTGTTCTGCTCTTCTTTTTTTTCCTTTCTTGACTTCTAACCAGTTATTTCCAGTGTTTTAGGGAACAAGCACTGTAGGAATGAGGGTGGATGCGTGAGCAGATTTCTTCTCTGAAGGAAGCAAGCTGTGCTCTGTAAAATTCTTACTTTTGTTTCCTGTATTTCTGTGGAGTGCTGAAAGTGGCACCAGCTGCATCAGCAGGCAAGAAAGTAAAGCAGCAACAGCACATCGTGGTCAGGATGATGTACATATGAGGCAGTGCTTTATCCCAGCACAGACTGCTGTTAGTGGCTGTGGCTGATGTCTTTAAATACTATTTTTAAAAACAATGTTAAAAAAACTGGCTCACTGCTTGCCTGGGCATATATTCTGGGCTCTCAAATACCCCAAATTTTATATAGAATAGCAGTGTTAAACTGCTGTGATAAAGGAGGGGCAACAAGGCTCAGAGGTGACAGGGAAGTTATATGAAGGGTGTAAAGGAAGAGAGTTATGAAAGGTAGGTGCAGGAAAATATGGTTTAAAGTGGGGCAGGTAATCCATTTAAGATGTTGAAAGTGTGTAACTAGCAGAGAGGAAAAACAAGTGAAGTATTCCATACTTCCTCAACTTAATTTCTGGTGGTGATTGGTGATCTTTTGTCTTGGATATTGCTGCTAGATACCATGATTCATTCATGTTGATACACCTAGATGAAGAACTGTACCATCACCTTCCTGTGTCTGAGCAGGAGTCATAGAATCACAGAATATAGAATGGTTAAGGTTGGAAGGGACCTTAAAGATCATCAGGTTCCAACCTCCCTGCTATGAGCAGGGACACCTCACACTAGACCAGGCTGCGCAAAGCCTCATGCAACTTGGCCTTAAACACCTCCAGGGAGGGGGCTTCCACAACCTCCCTAGGCAACCTATTCCAGCTCCTTACTACCCTCATGGTAATAATTTCTTCCTGATGTCTAACCTAAATCTGTCCTCTTTCAGTTTAAAACCATTACGCCATATCCTATCACTACACACCCTGGTGAGAAGCCCCTTCCCAGCTTTCCTGTAGGTCCCTTCAGGTGCTGAAAAGCCGCTATAAGGTCTCCCTGGAGCCTTCTCTTCTTCCAGGCTGAATAGCCTCAACTCCCTCAGCCTGTCTTCATAGTAGAGCCCTTTGATCATTTTTGTGGCCCTTTTCTGGACCCTCTCCAACAGCTCCATGTCTTTCCTATGCTGGGCTCCAGAGCTGTACACAGTACTTCAGGTGGGGTCTCACCAGAGCAGAGTAGAGGGGCAGAATCGCCTCCCTGGCCCTGCTGGCCACGCTTCTTTTGATGCAGCCCAGGCTGTGCCACTACCATAAAGGACAATAAAAAAAGGTTTTACAAATAAATTAACAGCAAAAAGAGAACCAGCAAGAATCTTCATCCCTTATTGGATGAGGAGGGGAACATGGCAACCAAGGATGAAGAAAAGGCTGAGATACTTAATGCCTTCTTTGCCTCCATCTTTAGTAGTCAGACCAGCACCACAGGCTTACACAGACAAATAAGATGTACTTTTGATACAAAAAGTCAGGATGTTTGGTAAAGAAGCTGCTCGGCTAATCAGAATTTTAAGAATTATTTTCCCCCTTCTTGTTCAGTTATGCCTATGGTCAACCTGAAATCACTGCTCCTTCTGCCCTAACTTTTTCCCCATCTTGTTGTTAACTGCTAAATGTGTCTCATGTATGGTCCCTGGACATCTCCTGCTCCCTCCTACATCTCCAGAGACATTTCCTGTAGTGAAACATCAGTAAAATGGCAGCACACAAATGTTGTCAGAAAGAAAAGTCAGAATGGTGGAAATGGTGTTGCCATGGGACTTGCAATTACAGTGATCTTGGTTATTGCTGTAGATGTGATTGTAATACCTCATCATCTTTAAAGTTTGTGTTGTCTCAGTAATCTTCTACTACTTTCTTATCTCTAGCTCTTCTGTAATCCTATAATTTACTTTTGCAGCGTTATTCAGTGTTGCATATGTCTTTTGAAATCCAAAAATCTTACCACCTCACCTTTTAACTGTGTCTTTGGAGTGAAGGCTGTTGAACTCAACTGTATAGAGGGCTGGTTTCAGCCTTGATGCAGTTGGATTAGATGATAGTTCGTATAACCAAATCCACTGTTGAGAGATAGGCACTAGTTTGAGGTTTGTGTGTAGCTAGTAACCTGACTGTCAGAGCAAATCCACTTACAGGCTTTGCTTTGCAAAGTGACCTGTAGTAACCTGTTAGGTGCAGGTTTCTGTAACTTCGCCAACCTTACTTTCTTTGGCAATAATTTGAAACCCAAAGAAGAAGCTAAGAAATCTGTTACCCATCTAATTTTTTAGGGGAAGGGTGGAGGAATATATTTTTCATATCTTGGTGTGCCTTTCCCTTTTGCAGTTTTTGCTATTTACTGTTTTGTTTCTCATTTCAGTATTTGACTACAGCTATAGAGATTACATCCTGTCCTGGTACGGGCCACTCAGCAAAGATGAAGGGCAGCTGTACCAGCTGCTATCTGAAGACTTCTGGGAGATGGCCAAGCAGCTGCGGCAGAGGTTGAGTCACATTGATGTAGTTAAAGTCGTCTGCAATGATGTAGTGAAAACTTTACTCTCACACTTCTGTGACCTTAAAGGAGCCAATGCCAGGTAAAAACGAGGCTCTGCATTTCATTGGAATTTTCCATGTCTCTCTTTGCTTTCAGATGTGCTAAATCAAAGCAATGAAGAGTGTAGGCTACTGATAAAGAAATCAGTTCAAGCTTATTACCAGTTTTAGAGATAAAGTAGTCTTCAGGGCATCTGTAATATCTGTACAAGAAACATTTGTCCTCCTTTTCACAGAGTTTGGGTTAGCTGCTGTTTCAGATTCATCCTTGAATCCTTTCCTTACGGTAGGAGGTGGGCAATGTGAGCAGTTCCTGCAAGTGGGAACCTGCAAATGGAGAGAGACAGGCACTGTCTGAGCAGTCAACAGGCAAGAAGACACTTGTTTGTAGTTTTCCCAGAATAGCAGCAGGGTTAATTCCCTTCAGTTGTCCATTTCTTCTAACCCTGGGAGGCAATGCCCTGTGGTTTCTGTAAGTGGCCTGTCCTGCAGTAGCAAGATTTTTCTACTGGAAAAATTGTTGACTAGAATTTCTTACTCTGTTTTAGGTTATCTTGCTAATTCAATTAATTTTCTTTTTTGGCAAGACTCTCGTTGTCCACTTAAAAAGGTCAACTGTCCACTAAATATTAGAGTTGCACCCAAATTGTAATTGCAAATGAGCGTTCTTAGTCTGTGCAGTTCCCCCATCTCAATGTACAATTTGTGTAATTGTGCATGGAATTTGGGCTTATCTCTAAAGTTGCTTTATCTAGTTAGGTCCCCATATTTTTAACATCCTTTCAGAGAAAAACATCCACTTTTTTTGTCAGTAACCAGTCAGTGTGTTGTCTGTTGCCACTCACACTTCTTTCTGCTCTGGAGTGGAAGACAAGGTTAATGTATTTGTAGTAGATGCCAGCTTTATGTAAGCTGATATGTAGGAAATAGTGACAAAAAGAAACTATAGGGTGGTTACATTCAATAAATTAATTTGTATGCACATTACAGTAAACCTTGCATTAGATTCCAGATACTACTTTCTTTCAGCTCTGGAACATGGTAGAAATCTCTTGGTCAGATAAAGCTCCTAAGTGTGCTCCCTGATTTTTAAGTATTATGCTTGCACTTGCCCTTTATTGCAGTAGAGCACTCACTTTTGGGAAGAATTTGATTTGAAGAGTTAAAGGATAAGGATTATTTATTTTTTTAATGTGAGTATTTTCTTGTTTCAACCTGAGGACATAGAATCTACAATCACAGAATTATTAATTACTATTAATGCTGTTTTTTTCATGAGTTTCCTTATCTACTGAGAATTTGACCACTTCTTCTAGGTGTTTGTTGGATTGTTATTTCCACTATGTAGAGCTAAAATAAATTATCTTGGGTATTTTCCAGTTAGCTTTTTCACTTTGGAATGGTAAATGCAACTTAGTGCTGGATAAGGCAGGCTGCATTAACGTGGTAATGAAAAAAATCCTATCAAAAATTAATGTGGTAGTGGGTTAAACCCCCCCCTACAAACTCCACAGCTGTAACTACAGGTTTGGTGTAGATTGAAACCAGACCCATAGACTGTTGTTCACATTCTGCAAGGCTGTGAATTCACAAAGAGGAAGGTCTGGTTTTAATGATGCTGCATGATGCAAAACATGAAGCAGTAGTCTGTCTTCATGCTACTCATCTGAACTTGCTCAAAAAGTCCAGAGGGCTTAAATGCTATGTGTGTATTATCCTAATGTTAGTTGAAATGTGACATTGTGCTTATACACTAAAGGTTGAATTTGTAGTGCCAGGTGATCTAAGAATGTGGCTAATAAACCTGGAAGCACAGCCAAAGACTGGTATTTTTCTTTTAAAGAGTGTTTGTAGTTTTAAGAGTTAACTTGAATTTTGTACTAAAGTGCCTACTACAGTAGTGTTTACTGTGCTAGAACCTGCTGACGTTCTAAGCTATAAATTGAGAACTACAATGTAAGTCACTTCTAACTTGGAAGATAGTATTTCTTGGGAAGCCTGCAATTAATTTCTATATTGCCACAGTTCAAACACAGAAGATCATTCTTCCTAAGGTAGGGAACCCAGATATCATCTTGATCCCTTTGACTTATCTTAATCATTGTGAAACTCTGCTTAGTAACAAACAGCTCCAGGTAAATGGCTGGCAGAGGACGTCAGTTGAGGAAAAATGCTTTCCTGAATGAGAGAGACCATGAAAAGAGGAGAGGCCACTTCCACACTGGCCAGTGGGAGACAGGGAATCAGAAGGAAGAAGCCTGGCAGCGTTAGTGCTTTTTTTATTCTGTCTTCTGGCTTTCTTTAATGATGACTGCCTTTTTCCTGTACCTGCCAAACACTTCTACAGAGAGAAGCTGTAAGCAAGACAACTCCCATATTATTCCTTTTACGTGCATCGCTGGCTTGTACCTTGTTGTCCAGTTGGGGCTCCAAAGGATCCTGTCACTTTTCAGATACAAAATATGTGGCAATTGAGAATATTTTAGATAGGAAGCTATATCATTCTGAATATTAGCTCCGTGTTCAAATGCATTATGATACTTCTTCGTGTGAAGTATTAAGATAGTTTACAAGTTTGAGATATGGAAGAACAATCAGGTTTGGATTTATTGGTAGAAGCTTGTTTCCTCTGTGTTGTACAAAATCAGAAGCGCATTTATAAAAGGATTAGTCAAGTTCATCCTGCAGGGTAGAGTGGGTAGTATTTGACCGTTCTTGTTTTATAGCAGCTTTTATCCCTTTATTCCATTATATTTCATTTAAAGGTCTTTCTTTGGCTACTTTAAGCAAACTGGATAATGGCAATGTAATTTTATGTGATCAAGGATGAACAGTGAGCTGAGTAAGGTGGTGTGTAGCACTGGAAATGTTCATGTTGGTACGTGGGTGCAGCGTTGTCCATGGTGGAAATAGACTTTCTTGGGGGAGAGCAAGAGGCAGATACTCCTCTGGATGAAATGCACAGCCTGTGTCATAAGGACTTAGCAAAGTGAAGACAAATAGTGAGTGTCTTTCTGTGAAACTGTCCATATGAAAGGAAGAGGAATTTCCCTGTGGGCTAAGAATAACAACATCAAATATTACTACAGAACTGTTAACATTTGATGAATAACATCCTATGCTGGTCGTCTCTAAACTGCAGTGTAGGCAAAGTGAGATTTAGGCAAATGGGATTTGTAGGTAGCTAATTGCCTCTTCTTGAACCTCCTGACAAGCAGTACTTTTTGAATCACATCTCAGTGAGAAGAGGTCACAGTGACACAGATTTATTTTCTCCTACAGCTTTTGGTTGGGAGTGTCCTCTCTCTGTCTTTAACTTACAGCTGGGCCACCTTGGTCCCAAAGTTAGAGGAAGAATTGGTTTCTGCAGTTATGGATATGGGGTGGTGCAGGCTGCTTCTGGCAAGTTGACTGTTAAATGACATCTGATGGGGTGCTCAGAAGTGTTTGTGTGTGTGTGTGCCTGGCCTTGCAGCCTAAGTTACGACTTAGCAAAATGGGTATATGGGGTCTGCTGGCTACTCCCAGTGCTGGTTTGGAACCCGTATATAAGGGCTCAGAGCTTTTGGCAAGTGTGAGGAGTGGGGAAAAATTGTGGGGAAATTGCTGTTTGAGTGATAATATGGCAAGTAATTTGGGGATTTAAGTTTGTATTGTACATGTTTTGATAATGTTCCTTTTGATTTTTATGTAATACTGACAGGCTAAGGAAAGAAGACAGCTCAGTTCCTGATTTTCTTGGCCCATGTGAACACCCTTGCATGTATAGGATTTATATTTTTTGTGACTATGATATGTAGTGTGGTAAGATACTCAGTAAAAATAAAACATGCTGCCACCACAAGGTGATCAAGAGCAGATTGGTGCAAAGGGAGCTCAAGCACTTGAGATGTAACTTGGTTAATCTTATAGATTGTGTCCAAGTTGAGAGGAGAACTACTAAACACCTCCCACAGTTCTTGTTTTGCTTTTGTAATTCCATTTGCCACCCAAAGAACTGCTTATCACACTTAGTCTCTGGAAAGGAGCATCGAGAGAATTAGTATGAATTTGTAGAAGTTTGTTGCAATGGGAACAGCTGTCAGAAAGTGCTGAGAACAAAATAGTCATGGAATCCAAGGTCTGAGCATGTTAATAAAGTTAACTCATGGGTAGCACCAGGTCTAAAGCTCATCATTGCCTTCTAACTTCTAGTGCTGATATGGTCATACCATAGCTTGTAAGCCATTCATACATTCTTTGGGTCTGTTACCAACATGACATGTCAAATGCTTTTTCCTGACAACTGTAGAAATTTTGGTGTTGGCTTTGTAATTTGTTGTTGTTCTTTTTGGGTTTGATGTAGTTTGTTTTCAGAGCGGTTTTCTTAGAAGGTGCTTTTTTCAGGTGTGTTTATGGTGCTGGCTTTTAAAGGTCTAAATTTGTTAGATCAAGCAGTTTTTGTTCTGCTGTGCTGTCAAGAAACCTAGAGATCTGAGCACAATGTGGGTGAAGAGATGCAGGCTGCATGTGGTTCTGGTGGTTCCCAGAATCAGTTTAATGAAGGCACATGGTAGGTTCTGAATGTACTGATGAAAGTCATTTAGAGTGAGTTGCATGTGCACTTCAGCTCACAATTGCACTGACTGAGGGGTAAATGTAACAGCAAGACCTTCTCTTGAAAGACTAATTAGAGAAATAGCAAGGCTGAAGGGAACATTCTGTGACATATTTATTTATTTATTTAAAGAGAAAGTACTCTTACATAATTTCCTGTAGACTTGTTGTTAGTGTTTATTTACAGACTTTTTTTTTGTATTTGTAGTTTTGGATTTTGTTTTTTTTTTGTTGTTGTTGTTGTTTTGTTTTGTTTTGTTTTTTTAATATAATTTACTTGATTGCTCCTTGATTTCAAAGAAGAGTGATCTTGTTTGTTATCATTAAGGTCCTGGTCATGCATGTCCTAATCAGTGTGCTTATTTTGGTGTCTCTTCCCTGTGAACCAGTGGTACTGCCAACTCCAAACCTGCAAAGTCCCAAGTTGAATGTGCGTTGTAAGTTT